AAAAAAAAAAAAAACCATGAAAGCATCTCCTATGAACAATCAAGAAGAAATGAAAACCAATGAGATTGACATTGCAAATTTCATTCAATAAAGCTTAAAAAGCATCGCGATGATCCAGGAATTAAACCGGCTATTTGAGCCTCAACCGGCAGGGAACACATAAAAAAATGAGGAAAACCGGCAACCGGGCTTAATTGAAGCAATTTAGCAGAACTTTTTGGTCAATCGAAGTTGTTAATATCGTTGGAAATTGAATTAAAATGTTCGACCGCAGAGAGTAAAGTGATTAATGCTATATCCGTCGGTATCAACAAGAAAAATAAATTTTCTTTCAGATGCATGTTTTCAGACTAGTGAACATCTACTAATTAAGCTATTAAAAAAAAAAAAGTTCGCGTGTTATTTGCAGGGCCTTCACATAAATATCGAACCAATTTAACCAATCAGGGTGCCATAGATAAGCAAAACAAATAGCAGGACACTAAAGCCACTCGATTTAGAAAAAATAAAAAGATGTAGAAAAGAGAAGTTGAAAATAGCATTACCAAATACTCATGTACAGCGAAACTCCTCGTCTCAATGAAGTCTGGCACCTGCTGCCCTTCCATCACATTCGTTTTATCAACAAATGACTCGTTCAAATCGGGAATACCTGTACACTTTCCGGAAGATTCTTGGTTTTTAGAATTGATCTCAGCACCCATATAGCTGCTCAAAGAAAGGTCCAACGCAACTTTTTCCCGGACAGTACAATCTCCTTCGGGCCTCTTATCCTTCTTCGACAGATCAGAGAAAACATCCATTCTTTCCTGTCCAGATACAGATTTCTTGAAAATTGCCCCCAAGTCCCCCATATTACCAAAATTATTTCCAAGATTTGCACAATGCACAGAAGAATTACTCATCATCTGCACAGCTGTCCTGTTCTCGACAAGTGTCCGCCTCGTTTTTCTATTGATGTCGAGAGCTTTCTGCTTCCGGGCCTTACTATGCAGAGCCTTTCCTGCAGTTCTTACATTCTCCGAGTCTGACTCTGGAATTTCAACTCTCTTGAATGCCTTACTATTATTCTCTGGCTCCAAAATCGAGCCTTTCGATTTCTTGGCTACAAATGTGGGTGAGTTCTTCTCGGGAGGTCCATCATCCTCATGAACTATATTCTTTCTTTTCCTCAGGGGCGTTTTCGTACTTTTTGCAGCAGTATCTGAGGAGACATCTAACCGGGACTGAAGATTCGAATCATCTTCTGTCTGTGAAGATGATAGAGATTTTGTTCTAGGATGTTCGAACGCGAAATTTCGTTCCTCGTTTATAATATCGGCTAAAGACCTCAATTTTGGTTTGCGTTTGTGAGGTAATGCACTGTAGGCAATAGTATCGTCACTGCCCGAAGTTGCTTTTCCAGCTGAGCATACTTTATCTGAAGCATCTGAGGAAGAAAAAAATATCGAAGTTTTAGTTACAAAAAAAATCATAAATATATTGAAGAATTTCATGAACGGTGCCGAATTACCTGAAGATTTTTCAGGTGCCTCGATTAGCTGGATCTGATTAGTTTCCGGAACATGAGTCCATGAAGGTCCAACTTCAGTAGTCCTAAAATCTGCAACAAATGATTTGAAACTTAGCAGAATATATAGATTGAAGTTTATAGAGTTACATAATTCTCAAGAGGCTAACAACACAATACAAAAACACAAAAAAAATGAAAATCTTCTAAACTTTCGATCACTTTATAATGCAGTCACGAAACTTACGTGCAGCAGCTTTATTATATCCATCTGCGCACCATGAATTATAAGCTATTATCTTATCACCCGTATAATTAGTCTCCTCATTACCTGCAAAAGGAAAACACTCAACTATAATACAATGAAAAAAAAAAAAAGCTAACACGCGGGCTTACATATTTCCAGTCACATACCTATTTTTTGTATGCTATGTGTGAGTAAACCTTGTTTTTCACCCGAATTTACATTCTCACAACAATTTCCTTCGGCAGTAACGCTTTTATCCGCTAATATCATACCAAGATTGCTTTCATGATCAGCAAATTCAGGCACACAGTTAGGACATTGCCACCACCGGAATTTGGGAACGGATAATGGAGGTAAATCCAAACCGCCGTTATTATTTTCACTTTCTGAAGCAAATGGATTACATTTTTTCCAGTCTCTTTTTCTCATTTCAGAGACAAATCCACTGCAATATTCAAAAATAAATCATGTGCTTACTTTTCATTATTACCTATAATATGCACTCTGACAGAATGTTAACTGATTTCGACAAGAGAAAACATAAATCGAGAATTTAGGTCATCAAGGATAAAACCAACAAAGAGTATATGTGCGTGTTAGCAGGCTAAGATGCACCACATTTGAAAAGACAATTCAGGCATGTTTATGTTGGAAAGATTAAGACTTGAGAATACAATTCAGACATCAAGAACAATAAGCTAACGTAAAGAATGTGTTAGCATCACATTCCTGTAAGAGGCAAACACTGAATGAATCCCGATAATCTGAAAATTAAGAGATGTTATTACACATTGCAATGAATTTTTTTTTTATTTATTTATTTATTTTTTTTTTTGCAAATACATCTTTCTTAGACTACATTATTAGATTCTCATATATAAACAAACTTTAAGCTAAACAGATTCACCAAAGCTAATCATGAACAAAATAAAGTAGCAAGCGGTGTTATTATATCTAAGAGTTGGCACCAAAGAAGTTGTTACCGTATCGAAAAATGCTCATGTTTGGGGGACTGATCAATCTCCTCTGCAGCACAGTTGATATCTATTGCAATCGAGTTAATTTGGACGAGTGAAGCCGAAGCTGAAGTTTTGGATGCCAAAGCCAAAGACTCACTTCTCTTATTGCATTCTTCCACAACAACTATGCTATCCATTTTAATAAATATGAAACAACTGAAAAATGAAACAATTAGTAACTAAACTGATGTATGCCATGCGCATGCGCACACTTAATTTAGACTGAAATAAATCAAGGCCGCATGCGATATAGAAATAGTACAAAACTATGCGTTGTAACGAACTTAAAAGCATAACTAATTAACATAAAAAGGTTACAACATTTGTGAAAAAACGACAAATGATTAACATTTAGGCCTTCGCTAAAACCAATTATAGAAACCCTAATTAAAAAAAATTAAAGCAATGTAAAGCAGCATCAAATCAAAGATTCAGTATGTCCGCATGCGCGACGATTAAAAATCGAGTTAAGCGTGTTTAAAACTAAGCGAAACGACTCGCATCGAATAACAAGAGGACAAACCCAATTTTAGGGTTTTGTCTTCAATGGGGGGAATGTGAAATCTCGATCTTGACAAGAACAGTGAAATCAAAAAGGTCCATCAATAACACCTCCAAAATTAACCCAAAGCCCATATAATAAATCGAATCGGACAACCGAAACACATACATTAATCTCATACATTCCCCCAAATAACTCAAATTAGGGTTTTGCCCATTTTCCACAGCCTCACCAACGGTCATTTGAAACCAGTCAAGACCAGTAAAACCACACATAAAATGATAGAGAAAAACCCAAATGAAAAAAACGAGCTAAAATAGGACATAACATAAAGGAGCAGATAATAATAAATAAATAAATAAATGAAATAATAAGGCCCATTTCAGATAAGTAGATAAATAAACAGTCAAAAAAAAAAACAAGAAAATCAGCTCAAAAGTCAGCTAAAATGAACAAACTAAATACAGATTCGAACAAGAAAACACACTTCGGATCATCAAATGAAAAGGGGTGTCACAAAAATCGAACCTTTTTTTCTCCGAATCTCGAAAAAATTAGGTTCAAAAGCTCCGGTGATTGATCGGCCCGGAAAATAATCTCGACACTGGTCACTGAAAATCAATCCCCATTTGAGCTTCAAAATCTGCCCTTGTGATTTTCTTGATTTTTTCGAGCTGTTTTTCGAGTGGGTTTTTAAGCAAAATTTGGGGGAGAGAAAAAAATGGGATTTTTTTTTTTAGGTCTGAAATTCGAAGGAAAAAAATAAATAAATAAAATAAAATAAAAAATTTCACAGTGATAGAGAGAGAGAAAATGAGAAACAAAAGATAGAGAGAGAGAGTGTGTGTGTGTTTGTGTTTTTCTTTTTGGTGAAATTTAATGTCGGCTCACTGTTGACGCATACGGCGTATTTATACGCTTTTGTCGAGTATAGATACAGAAAGTTGTACGTATACGAGGAGAGAGAAAGATTGGTCCAATCAGATTGCGCCAGCGAGGCCACGAGATGCGATGCTTATCACTATCCACTACGGGTCTCGTAAACCCTAGTCAAGCGAGGGGTGAGGGGGTGGCACACACGCGCTAGATTCGGAGGTAGTTGAAGAGGCGCTGACGCACTAAGGACGGCGGGGATTGGTGCGTGGGAGTCACGGGCTTGGAAATGAGAGTGGTCGATTTTTTGGGAGCATCGAAAAGCGAACCCTAAAATTTGTGTGGTAATAAAGAAGGAAGGTAAATGTGGGGATAACCCTAACGATAAGGGCATTGTGAGAAATATATATAAATGTGGTTAGGTAAGGATAAATATGTGTTTAGGGTTTATTTTATTTTATTTTATTTTTTATATTTATTTATTTGTGCATCCTATTTTGGATAATTGCTTATTGCTCCATCCATGTATGTATATATTTATTATTTATATTTTATATTGCATGGTTACAATAATTATAAATCTTGTATCAAATTAAGTAATTGTGTGGCATAATATGACAAATTTTGTGTTCAAATTAACTTCAAACATAACATGGTTTGGGAACTTTTATGGAAATATAAGGTTATTTTCCGAGATAAATCGCAGTGATATTGAAAAGGTAAATGCTTTATTACGATTTTCAAAGATATTTTGTAGTTGTCGTAGTCAGATTGAAAAGGTAAATGTGGGGATAACCCTAACGATAAGGGCATTGTGAGAAATATAAATGTGGTTAGGTAAGGATAAATATGTGTTTAGGGTTTATTTTATTTTATTTTATTTTTTATATTTATTTATTTGTGCATCCTATTTTGGATAATTGCTTATTGCTCCATCCATGTATGTATATATTTATTATTTATATTTTATATTGCATGGTTACAATAATTATAAATCTTGTATCAAATTAAGTAATTGTGTGGCATAATATGACAAATTTTGTGTTCAAATTAACTTCAAACATAACATGGTTTGGGAACTTTTATGGAAATATAAGGTCATTTTTCGAGATAAATCGTAGTGAGATTGAAAAGGTAAATGCTTTATTACGATTTTCAAAGATATTTTGTAGTCGTCGTAGCCAGATTGAAAAGGTAAATGCTTTACGATTGCAGAAATATTTCTAGGATTATGTAAAGAGTGAATTAGAATTCTTCGAGTCGGTCAATATTAATATAATTTTTCAGAAAAAATTGTATCGGATTTTTTTCATGAGTCATAGCTTTAAAGGGCAATAATTCAAGGTTTGACTACATATAAAGTTTATGATATAATCTATAATTCATTTTCTATTGTAACACAATACTCATTCCAGTCTACAATCATTCACTAAAAGAAAATGATCAAATTTCAGTGGCAATATATGTTAACAAAATTCTAACAATAATTTCAATGAATATTTTGATGTTATAACAACTGTTAGGAATCAACTTTAAATTATAATTTTCATAGAATTTTCACAATTTCAACATCAATTTTTAATTTCAACTGTTTGAATTACCGTCGAAAAATGATCTCTAACGAAAATTTTCTACAATAATAAATCAATGTTAATATTAATGTACGAGCCATCCAATTTCAATTGAATTTTCAAGAGAATTTAACACCGATGAAATTTTTCAATGTTGACGTCTATGAATATTCAGTGTTGGTACTGTTGAAAATACTTTACAGTTACATATTTTTCATTGGAATATGATAATTTTATTATTGATTTACTATTATCAAATTCAGTTTGAGATTATGCATATCAATAATGCTCCCCCACTCACGGTAGACACATGTTAATATGTCAACCGCCATGCACACATTGGTGATGTTAATATGTTACAAAAAATACATCACCAATGTGTGCATGCCACATAAGTGGTGGGCATATTAACATGTGTCAACCGTGAGTAGGGGAACATTACTGTTATGCATATATTATATTAATAATTTTTATATTTCTGTGATAGGCAATATTGTGATAACACAGTCAATATGAGCACGAGATGTTAGTACGGGTTTGAATGTATTTTAATAATAATTAATCACCTTAATGGAAATCTAATGGATAAATTTCTTTAGAAATAGAGATTTAAACTTTTTGCCTCCTATTCAACTTTTCAGTAAAAAATATATTTTTTTTTTCTTTAAAGAAAAATGACAAGATAAAGGGGGGAAATAAATATTAATATGGCTTTATTTGGCTAAATGACACAAACCACGTAGCAGGCTATATAAGGACATTAAATAAATAAAACTTTTTTTTTTTCAAATCAGATAAAAATAAATAAATAAATAAAACTTAATAAAACAAAATTTTGTGACATATATTTTTTCCCACCATTAAATTTTGTACTAGCTATGGTAGATAGTGTACCATGTACTAGCACCAACCTTGTATAATATATATACATATACATATATATATATAAGTCGGGATTGATTCCAATGCATCCACATTTTTAAAGTGAAGACGTGCGACTTATTTTTAGTCACAAGATTTGATACATCATGTGTGACCAAGATTTACTATTTACTATTTTCTTTTTATTATTTTAGCTATTTAAATATTATTTTGACTCGTTGACTCCGGCGTTGACCGTTGACTTCCGGCGAAACCCGTTGACTTTCGGCGTTGACTCCTGCGTTGACCGTTGACAACTAACCTTCCAATTAGGTTAGTTCTCTGTAGTTGCTAGGTTAGTTCTATATAGTTGTTAGATTAGTTCTCTCGAGTTGCTAGGTTAGTTGTCTGTAGTTGCTAGATTAGTTGTCTGCAGTTGCTAAGAGTTGTCCGCATTTTAAGAACTGACCTCATTTTAAGAGTTGGTCTCATTTGATCCGCCCCTATATAAGTCAATAGGGAATAATTACAAATATTTATATGACAATTCAAAAAAACTTAGACAGCCTAAAATTAAATTATATGTGACTGAGAGATGAAAATCGTTAATTCTTGCAAGGTATTTTTCTTTCTCGTGGATTTCATTTTAATTATCGATGACTATAGTGTAATTACAGAGTCCATTTTTTCTAATTTCCCATTCGTTTTTATGTGGAAATTAGGTTATATAATTTTATCCACGGACCAACCTAATTAAATGTAATTTCTAATAATTCCTATCTACGTGTAAAAGTCCGGTTATAATAATTTACGATAATTAATATATATAGCGGAAATCTTATATATAATTTTCGAATGCGCTGAGCCTACGTGGCTGTTTCTGGTGCTTCGAAATCTTATTTGGCGAATAATTATGCTTCGTAATTAAGTTTGGATAAATAATATTGATATATTAATAATTAATAATCTAGGTTGGGGTATTCCATAAATATTATTTAGTAAAAATCAAAATCATTTTTCTTTTTATTTTTATGTATTTCTGACAAAAAAAATTTGCTAATTTTTTTTTTTTGTACAGGGACCGTTCGGTTTCCAGATCCACAGGGAACCAAAAATTTGCTAAAATTAATTACTGTAGATCTCACTTTTATGAATTACCTCAAATTAATTAGACGATAAATAAAGCAATTTCAATGGTTCAAAAGTAGTTAAGTGGCTACATGGAGAATAATTTTTTGGCACACATTCCTTATTGCTTAGATAAATAGGTTAATTGGATGATAATATAAAGTATTTATGGATTTAAGTACTTCACATGTGGATAGACGTG